ATCCAGGCATCCCTAGAATAAATTCTAGTTGTTCATGGTACATAAACCTTTAAAAGGTAAGGTAAAGGCCCTCCCGTTGTTCATAGATTTGCTCGAGCGGGCCCAGTAACGTCTCCATTGGAGACTTTGTTGTTACTGTGTCTGGCATATCGAATACGTCACGGTAGCTTGCCAGGCTCTGCCGTGCGGGCAAGATACTCTCGGTAGCTTACCGGGCTCTCCGAGAGGGGCAGAGGAATCAAACTCGGGTCGGCCATGTTGGCTGCGTGCAAGGCAAACGCCCTACCACTGTGCTATCGCTCCAAACCTTTAAAAATGTTGTTGAATTCAGTTTACCGATATTTTCTTGAGCTTTACATCTATGTTTATTAGTATTATTGGTGTGTGATTTTCTTCTTTTGTGGTATTCTTGCCTAGTTTTGATGTTGGGGAAACCAGGGAACTGCTGATCTTGTAAAATGAGTTTGAGGTTGTTCACTCTGGCACACCCAAGGTACTCCATAGATAATGAATGATTCAGTGTAGAAATACTGTGAATTGTTGGAAAGAAAATAATAAATGGTTGGTGTTGAAATTCAATGTTATTTTATGTGTTTTCCCCACATTTTTATCACTTTCTAAAAATTTTTAGATTTTTTTTTAGAGCATTACAAAGCCATTGATGATTGAATTTCAGTCACACAGTATTCCAACACCCATCCCTCCACCAGTGTACATTTCCCAGCACCAGTATCCCCCAGGATCCCTCCCATCACCCCTCACACCCCATGCACCCCCTGCCTGCCTCTTTAACTGGCATTTTTCTTTCCTTCCCTCCCCCCTCTCTTTCCCCTCCCTCCCTTCCATCTACCCCCCCCCCTCTCCTTTTGGGCATTGTGGTTTGCAGTTTATCAAGAATTATCCCTTACCTACTTTTAACCCTCAGATCTTGTCCAGCATGATCATTTTTAAAATGGATCATAATATAATATACCTATTAAAATAAAACAAGAGTATTCTATTTGCAGGATCACAATGTGTACTATCTTTGGAACTTTATGTGTTGATGGCAGTGTTAGCATATATAGTTATTATCAGCCTATTAGTGCACTGAGCAGCTATAGCCATAATTTCTAATCTTTAGTTTTCCTGCATCTGAAATCTTTCCAGGTACCCCGAAATGCAATTAATTTTTGCCCACATAATCCATCAGTGTCTTTAGTCATTCTGGTTTTGATTTTGTAGTACCTAAAGACATCTGTCCACATGTCTTTTATTATTTCTTTCGATTTTTGAGCCACACCCCACCATGTTCAGGACTGACTCCTGGCTCTATGCTCAGAGAACTATATGAGGTGCTGGGGATTGAATACAACTTTTTATTTAACATTTTTTTAATTTAAATTTAATTTTTTAATTCACTTAAATTTCTTTACCTATCTGCACATCATCCTGTTATTTAGGGAACCAGAAAAAATAATCTCTGTGGAGAATGATCTAATTTTAGTAAACGCCAATTATTTGCTCACTTACATTTCAACTTTGCCACTGATTCATAGTTTTGATGAAATTTATTTTACTGTTTTTTTCTTACTAAAAATTTATTTTCAAAACAATGGTAGCTACTATGTATTTATTTCTCCCTGTGCATGGCACTTGCTAAGTGCTGGTTATGTGTATATTTTTTAAATGTTTTCAAATAACCTTGTATATTTCTAATTTACAAAAGAGAAAATAAAAATCAGATACATTCACCATCGCTGTGATCTGCAGATAGAGTGTTAACATTCTAGAAATGCCACAGTGGGGCACCCAAGAGCAAGTTAATCATATATTTTAAAGATCCTGGTTAAACAGTTATTTCTGCAACACTAAAGTGCCAAGAATACACATTATTGAGCTGGTAATTCAAAGTGCCTTAGTTGAACTTTCAGGTAGACTTTTTCTAGCTCTCTTTCAGAGCTGGCTGATTCTGTTATTCCACTTTCAGAATTTAATGTCACCAGCTAACCAACAGTCATTATCAAGTGAAACATACACAAACAAATGTGACTGTTTGGGGAAGGTGTGTGGGGATGGGAATAGTGTATCATTCTTGTTTCTGTTGTCCATTCTACCTGGTCTGAAGACCTCCTGCTATTTTGTAACTGCTTGGAGTGTTATTGGAACTTACTTAAAAACATTAAGTGGTGTCCGGGTGTGGGTGACTCCAGGTGGGTTCTGTGATTCAAGGTGGGTTCTGTTTCCAGAATCTCACAACACTTTCCCCTGCATCACAACCAGACGGGGATATCCACAGCCACACAGATTAAGAGATCTGATTTTGTTTTCGGGTCACAACTGGCACTACTTGGGGGAACCGTTTGGTGCTTGGGGGATCATGCACTGCTGGGGATCAAACCCAGTGTTTCTGCGTGCATTCCTGATTCTTTGAACCATCTGGCCTGAGATTTATTTGCTTGGACAAATTTTACCTGTTGCTATTTCCTAGAAATACCCCTCAGTGTGATTATGTTCAGAAGCACTGGATTGGGAACAGGCAGATTTGTATTCTACTAGTTTAGATGCAAATTTCTCCCCCTTTGACTTTGTCCCAAGGCACCCGATTTCTTTTTGGGCTCTAGTTTCCTCACTATAAAATGAGGAGGTTGGATTAGATGATCTCTGAGGTCCATTTCCTTCCTTCCTTCCTTCCTTCCTTCCTTCCTTCCTTCCTTCCTTCCTTCCTTCCTTCCCTCCCTCCCTCCCTCCCTCCCTCCCTCCCTCCCCCTTCCTTCCTTCCTTCCTTCCTTCCTTCCTTCCTTCCTTCCTTCCTTCCTCCCTCCCTCCCTCCCTCTCCCTTCCTTCCTTCCTTCCCTTCCTTCCTTCCTTCCTTCCTTCCTTCCTTCCTTTCTTTCTTTCTTTCTTTCTTTCTTTCTTTCTTTCTTTCTTTCTTTCTTTCTTTCTTTCTTCTCCTGGCAGTGCTCAGGGGACCATATGGGATGCCAGGGGTCTACCCCAGGTTGGCCACATGCAAGGCAAGCACTCGACTTTCTGTGCTATCTCTCCAGTCTCCAACTCTGAGGACCATGTCAACTCTAAAATCCAGTGGCTTCACAATTTTACGACCAAAGCCTAAAGAAGCAGCAGTGGATACTTTTCTGCTGGGTAGGGTTCATTTTTGAACCTTTAAATACCTATATCCTTTGCTTCATCATTATTGGGAATGATTTGAATTTTTTAAGAAAAAACAACTTTCCCACCCTACCAAAGAGACTGGAAGGTTAAGATGTGTGTTTTACATGGCTGACCCTTGTTCTGTTCCCCAGCACCACACATGACTCCCTGCTCACTGCCAGGAGTGAGCCCTGACTGAGCACTGCCATGTGAGGTCTAAAAGCCAAAAACGGTAAATTAAAAAAAAAAATTTTAGAATGATTAGTCTTAGGATTCCAATGCAGTAATCCTCAACTTCTTCTGTGATTCACCTTTCTAACACATTGTTTTCTGCTGACTCCACTGTCCTACTGGTTGGCCCCCTAGTCTCATGCAGTGTCAATTAAGGGAGTGTCACCTGACAATGGGACATAATAAAGGACACATTCCATTTGCTCTTTCAGTTGATCGCAACATCTGAGGAGTACACTGTTGGGTTTACAGCTGTGGCACATAAAATAAAGAAAATCTCCCTGTTTATGGGGGATCTTGCTCTTGAGTTGAGAATTTAGGATGTACAGAGGTTAAGTGTTTCTTTCAGTGTTTTGTTTTTTTTTTTTTTTTGGTGGGGACAGGGGTTATGGTGATGCTTCGGGGTTACACCTGGCTCTGCACACAGGAATCACTCCTTTCCTTTAGGTGGACGACCCAGGTTCTATTCCAAGCACCCTGTATAGTCCCCTGACTATCTGCCAGGTGTGGCCCCAAAAAACAAAAGCGAAAGACAACAGTGGCAAAAGGTATACCCAAGAAACATGTACCAAATCATGCAGACTCTCAGCAAGCAGAGTTAGGGGGATCTGGGTTTGCGGAAAAGTAGTGGATAAGGATTAATACAGAGAATTGAGGGCCAGAGAGATAATACAGCAGGTAAGAAGCTTGTCTTGCATGCAGCTGGGCTTGATCCTCAGCATCCCTATGGTTCTCCAAGCACCAACAGGAATGATCTCTTGAGTGCAGAGCCAAAAGTAACCCCTGATTGTTACTGGGTGTGGCCCCCAAACAAACCAAAAGAAATATAGAGAATTCATACATGGGGAGCAGGGGGGTGGCAGTAAAGGTGGATACAGAGATTTAAGAATTGAAATCAGAATTGGTAAACAGACTATTGATGTGTGGAGATAGTGGGAGCCAGAGATTAATTTATTTCATATTTCTTTAGTGTTTCTATTAGTGTCATTTTTGGGGGGAGGGGCATTGGGCGCACCCAGCAATGCGATGCTCAGGGGTTACACCTGGCTCTGCACACAGGAATCACTCCTGGCAGTGCTCAGGGGACCAAATGGGATGTCAGGGATTGAACATGAGTCAGCTGCATGCAAGGCAAGAACCCTACCTGCTTTGCTATCTCTCCAGCCTCCTACTTTTTCTGTTTTGTTTTGTTTTGTTTTGTTTTAGGGGCCACACCCAGCTATGCTCAGGGCTTACTTTTGGCTCGGAAACTTCTGGCAGGGCGCTGGAGACTTTATGAAGTGCTGGTGATCAAACTGGGTTGGCCACATACAAGGCTGGTGGCCTATCCACTGTACTTTGGCTCTTGCCCTGCAGTATTTCTTGGTAGAGACACTGTTGGCCTTTCAGGTCATTTCATTGTTATGCAGGACTATTTCAGACTGTTATTCTTACACGAAGCGCCCATCATAATGTAACCCTCATTCTCCCTCATCCCCACAACCATTGTGATAACTAGTTCTTATACATTTCTAAATGTCTTTTAGGGCTGTTACCTTACTCAAGGAGGAATGGGAAGTGTATTTTAAGCAGAGGGAATGATTTCTATAAATGTATGGAAGGAGGATCAAGCATTTGAATTTTGCCTTTTCCAGAAGAGAAGAAAAAGTTGATAAGAGATTTTGATGAAAAGCAACAGGAAGCAAATGAAACGGTAAGAATTGGGGTGCAAGGGTGGCAAGGGTGGGAAGTTTCTTGGAGCTACTGGTTGATTTTTTTTTTTTTTCAGGAGTAACCCTTGGGACTGGAGTAGTAGTACAGTGGGTAGGGTTCTTGCCTTATATTCCGCTGAACAGGGTTTGATCCCTGGCACCACTAAGCTCTGCCAGGAGTAAGCCCTGAGCACCACTGCATGTGGCCCCAAAGCAAAACAAACAAAACCCCCCAGAAATAATCATTGTAATTTGATCATGGGCTGGAGCAGTAGCAGAGCGGGTAAGGTGTTTGCCTTGTACACGGCAGACCTGGGTTCGATTCCTCCACCCCTCTCGGAGAGCCTGGTAAGCTACCGAGAGTATCTTGTCTGTACAGCAAAGCTTGGCAAGCTACCCATATTCAATATGCAAAAAAAAAAAACCAGTAACAAGTCTCACAGAGGAGACGTTACTGGTGCCTGCTCGAGCGAATCAGTGAACAACGGGAGGACAATGCTACAGTGCTAATTTGATCATAGATTAACTGCTCCCTTGCAGTTAATGCAAGGAGGATCTGCAACAAGGATCTGTTAATCCTTGTTACTACTGTTGGTTTGTTTGAGTCCTATCCAAGGTGCTCGGTGTCTAGTGTTGACTCCGTGTTTATGGGTACCATGAAGTGCTGGGAACTAATCCAGATCTCCTGCATGGAAAGCATGTGTCTCCGTCCAGTGAGTTACCGCTTCCGCTCTTGTCTATTGATCTTGATGCAAATAGTTGCCCCTAGTTTTTGGCTATCCTTGGTAGACTGAAACAAAAGGCTGGTTTTTTGTTTCATTTTGTTTTGGGGCCATACCTGGCGATGCTTGGGGATTACTCCTGTCTTTGCACTCAGGAATTACTCCTGGTGGTACTCCTGAGATGCTGGGGATTGAACTCAGGTCAGCTGCTTTTAAGGCAAAGGCCCTACCTGTACTATCGCTGTGGCCCCAGAAAAGGCTGATTTTTAGCCAGAAAAATTATTTTGGGATATCCCCATATAAATCTCAGAAGTTAAGAGTGTTTTCTGGGGTTGGAGAGATAGTACAGCAGGTAGGGAGTTTGCCTTGCACGCGGCCGACCCAGGTTCGATTCCCAGCATCCCATATGGTCCCCTGAGCACCGTAGAAGTAACTCCTGAGTACAGAGCCAGGAATAACCCCTGTACATCGCTGGGTGCGACCCAAAAAGCAAAAAAAGAAAAAAGGTTGTTTTCTTTCCTCCTCTTCTTCCTCCCTTTCTTTCTCTTTCTCTGTTTCCTCTTCTGCTTCTTCCTCTTCTTTCTTGTGGACCAGGCTATGTAAACTCCTTCATAATGGAGCACTGCAGCACTGTCCTCCTGTTGTCCATTGCCTTGCTTGAGTGGGCACCAATAATGTCTCCATTGAGACTTGTTGCTGTTTTTGCCATATCTAATACGCCACGGGCAGCTTGCCAGGCTCTGCCAGGCGGGTGGGATACTCTCAGTAGCTTGCTGGGCTTTCCAAGAGGAACGGAGGAAATGAACCCAGGTTGGCCCATGCAAGGCAAATTCCCTACCTGCTGTGCTATCTAGGAAGTTTAATTCCTGTGTGATGTTTGGGATATATTCATAATATCTGTCAAATAGTCTCTTCTCTGGTTAGTATCCTGTTAGCATTTTCCAAATGTTCCTCCTGATGGGGAGATAAACAGTTGAGTTTCAGAAAAAAGAGGAAGAGAGAGACATGCTAGACCCTATAATTTTTTGATCAGTAAATCAGAGTAGCAACATTAGTCCACTTTTTAAAATAATGTCTCAGGGCCAGAGAGATGATACGTAGGGTAGGGATCTTGCCTTGCATGTCACATACCTGAATTTGATCTTCGACTTCCCGTTTGGTCCCCCTGAGCCTACCAGCAGTGATCCCTGCATGCAGAATCAGGACTAATCCCTGAGCACCACCACCTGTGGGCCCTGCCTCCTTTCCCCCCCAAAAAAATGCCTCATACCCGTGTTTCAAACTAGTTCACTCTTGGGGTTGGAGAGAGATTACAGAGTTAAGCTTCATGCTTTGCATGCAGCCAACCCATGTTTGATCCCTGGCAATGCATAGTCTCCCGAGCATCACTGAGCCCTGTATTCCCCCTCAACACGGCCAGGCTAGCCCCTGAAGTTTCCTGAGCACCACCTAGGAGACCACCCTCTGTATCCCCAAAACCCTAAACAATAAGTTTGAACTGATCCTTCAACTGCACAGGTTTAAACTACCCAGGCCAACTTATACATTGAAATTTTTTCATTCTAGAATTTCCTCATCAGGGGCTGGAGCGATAGTACAGCAGGTAGGGCATTTGCCTTGCATGCGGCCAACCTGGGTTCGATTCCCAGCATCCCATATGGTCCCCTTAGCACCGCCAGGAGTAATTCCTGAGTGCAAAGCTGTGCATTGCCGGGTGTGATCCAAAAAGCAAAATAAATAAATAGAATTTCCTCATCCATGGATTTATTCATCATTGTTTGAATCCTCAGATGCATAACCTGTGGACATATAAGTTCGGGCCCTTAATCCTCACATTGTTCAATTTTATGTATTTCCAGTATATGAACACTCAAAAGTAAAACAACCAAATTTTATTTTACTTTCTTTTTTTGTTTTCATTTTGATTTGGATCCATACCCAGTGGTGCTCAGGACTTACTCCTGGCTCTGCACTCAGGGATCACCTCCTGGCATCATCTAGCGTACCAGGGATCTAAACCTGGCAGCATGGTCTGCAGCATGCCAAGTTTTCACCCACTGTACTGTCACTCCAGTCCCACAATCAAGTTTTTATAATGATAGGAGATAGACTCTCTCAAAATAGCTTGCAGCTCTAAAGCATTCCTAGTTGGTGTAAGTGCCATTCATCTCATATGTTCAGTTATATCAGAAGCAGCTTCAAAAACAAAATGCATTTTTTAGCTCTTTTAACATGAAATTTAAGTGATTTTTACCTGAAGCTACTTGATAAAAAGGGCAAGTTTATTTTTTTAAATAATTTCAGTAATATGTAAATGATTCCACAATCTTGTGATTTTAAAATGTTTTCTGGAAAAAAAAATGAACTTCCTGCTTCCCAGTACAACCTCCATGTTCAAGTCCAATTTTACTTTCCACCTTTAATTTTATTTTTAATTTCATATGTCTTGTTTTGGGGCCATTCCCAGCAGTAGCCATGGTTTGCTCTTGACTTGCACCCAGGAATTACTTCTGATGGTGCTGAGAGGACCATAGGGGATGTGCCCTGCCCAGTGTACTATCTCTCCGCCCACCCATTTTTTATTTCTTAATAGGACTTCCAAATTAGAAAATAAGATTAAGGGCAATTTTTCATGCTAGACTTTATTGCTGCAGTTTCTTCATAACTAGTTTATTGCACGCAGTTCATGACTTGTTGGTGCCATCAATCCATCAACCTGCCAAGGCACTGAAGAAAGGGCATGTCTCCTAAACAGATTAATTCTACTTGCAGGTACCAAAACCAGGTAGATTTAGAAAGGCTCATACCTACATGAGGAAGCTGAGTTTGCAATTTCATCTTTTTTCAAAGAGAATTTTTCTCAAAATTTTTTTTTTCATTAAGGCTGCCTACGAAATAATGCATGGGTAGTATTAATGCATGATACTTCCCACGTATTACGTAAACATGGTCACGGTCCTCCCGTTGTTCATCGATTTGCTCAAGCGAGCCCAGTAACGTCTCCATTGGAGACTTTATTGTTACTGTGTTTGGCATATCGAATACGTCACAGGGAGCTTGCCAGGCTCTGCCTTGCGGGTGAGATACTCTCGGTAGCTTGCCGGGCTCTCTGAGAGGGGCGGAGGAATTGAACTTGGGTCGGCCATGTTGTCCGCTTGTTATAAGGCAAACGCCCTACTGCTGTGCTATCGCTCCAGCCCTACATAAACATAGACATATTTCTGTCTAGGTCTTCATTACCTGTCTGTAGGAATGACAGGTTAGTTGGTTCTAATTCTGTTGGATAGGTGACTCTGAGATACAGCCCTCACTAAAGCCTGTCAGTGATTTTCTTTCTTTTTTTCTTTTTTTGCTTTTTGGGTCACATCCGGCGATGCACAGGGGTTATTCCTGGCTCCACACTCAGGAGTTACTCCTGGCGGTGCTCAGGGGACCATATGGGATGCTGGGAATCGAACCCAGGTTGGCCGTGTGCAAGGCAAATGCCCTACCCGCTGTGCTCTCTCTCCAGCCCCAAATTTTCTTGTATCCAGTCTGTAAATAGCCTCATAAAGCAAACTGTTTCACTTTTTAGTCATGGGTCTTTCATTTAGGCATGGGTCTTCCATTTAAGTATTTTACTTTTCCTAGAAGTGGTTATGATGTTTGTTCCAGCTTCCAGTTAGCTTCCTACTCACGAATCACGACCATCCTGTTATTCGTCGATTGCCTCGAGCAGGCCCCAGTAACGTCTCCTTCATCCTAGCCCTGAGATTATATTCAAGGCTCTTTAGGAGAATGAGACCCATCATTGTTACTGGTATTTGGCATATTGGGTACGCCACGGGGAGTTTGCCAGACTCTGCCATGTGGGCAGGTTACATTCGGCAGGATGCCAGTTTGTCCAAAGTAGGAATGAGATATCTTCCTACTCGTGCAGGTTTATCCCTGCATATGAAATGAGCATATAGCCAGTCTCAGATCATTCTACCTCTAGGTTGTACCATGACTCTGCATATTTTCTCCAGCTGTTACTGATACTGGTAATAAGCATCTATAAAATATTTAAATTTATTTTCTTTTGAAATCTCAGACATAGATTTCATCAACTCCTAGTTTAGTCTTTGAGCCATACCCAGAGGTACTCATGTGCTACTCCTGGCTCTAGCAAGCACCATACCCTACAATCTCCCCAGCCTTGCGTCTCACTTTTAATTCAGTGCTTCGTAGCACTATGCCAGCTACTGTGCATGAAGTGAACATGCCACATGTGCAACCCTGCTTTCTTGGGATTGTGTTTGTTTTGTATGGTCCAAACTGGGCATTTGTACATACACGAGAACTCGGCTTTCTACTTTCTGTCTTTCTAGCTGTCAGAGATGGAGGAGGAACTCCGCTATGCACCCCTGTCTTTCCGTAATCCTATGATGTCTAAACTTCGAAACTACCGGAAAGACCTTGCCAAACTCCATCGGGAAGTGAGAAGCACACCACTGACTGCACCTGGGGGCCGAGGAGACATGAAGTATGGCACATATACAATAGAGAATGAGCACATGGTAAGCATCAGCTGGGCTGTGTGTGTGCGCCTGTTTATGATTTGTATAGTGGATAGTGTTTCTCTTAGGAGACTGATACAAATGTGCTGCTTGTGCCCAGGTGGCCAAGCACATGTGGTACTTGAGCACATGTTTCACCTGCATCTCCCCTCTTGAAATGTGTACGGAGAAGCCCATGTTCTCTCTTGAATGCATTTCTCTCTTTCTCTCTCCCTCCTTTCTTCCCTCCCTCCTTCATCCCCTTTCTCTAAAACCTCCAAATAAATTTTTTTTTATATAATTTATTTGTTTATTGAATCACTGTGGGAAAAGTTACAGAGCTTTCGGGTTTAGGTCTCAGTCATGTAAATATCAAACACATTTCCCTTTACCAACACTTATTTTTAACCGCGAACCCCAATAGAACCCCACCTCCCACCCCTCCCAATTCCTGTGAGGCAGATGAGTTCTAGTTTATCTACTTTGACTAGATACATTGTTTCGATAGAAGATGCACAATTATTGTTTAGAGCTTACGACCCCCCCCCCCCCCCAATCAGACATGCTGAAACAGCGTTGTGAAATGATTTGCTTTCTACAACTTGGTTTAAGAATAAAATGATGTTTTGGATTTCTGCTATTTTACTTATTAACCCTGGAAGAATTTCTATTAAAAGTTAGATAGTTAAGAGATTGATTTCTGTGCCCTGGAGTCGTGGCCGTGCCGGAGAGCCGCTCGTGGGGGGCAGCTGGCGACCTCGGTGGGGCGTGAAGGACGGCCCATTACGCCCCCCTTCCCATGAGGTCCCTGCCGCCCTCCCATACTCCCCCCCCACACACACACACCGCTCAAACCTGCTGTCCACAAGGCTCCCGTGCAGCCGCCATCTTTCTTTCCAGAGAGGAGCGGGCGAGTGGGTCAACACCCTTTCCCCTCCGGGCAGGCATGCTGGCGCGATTTAACACATAGTCCATTTGCTTTTCTGCTCCAAGCGGGTGGCTCTCTGTGCTAAGTCCTTGTGCCTCCGGGGCCGTGGCCGTGCCGGAGATCTGATCTGCTCGTGGGGGGCAACTGGTGACCTCGGTAGGGCGTGAAGGACGGACCGGAACGCCCCCCTTCCCATGAGGTCCCTGCCGCCCCCCCCCCCCCCCCCCCCTGCGGCTCAAACCTGCTGTCCACAAGGCTCCCGTGTGGCCGCCATCCCAAATAAAATATTTTTACTTAAAAAAAAAAATGAGATTGGTACATGAATTAACCATATTGGGGGCCGGAGTGATAGTATAGATAGGGCACTTGCCTTTCATGTGGCCCACCAGGGTTCAGTTCCCAGTACCACATATGGTCCCCCAAGCTCAGCCAGGAGCAATTCCTCAGTTACAGAGTCAGGATAAACTCTGAGCATCGTCAAACATGCCGTCCCCCTCCAAAAAAAAAAAAAATTAACCATATTATGTAGTAGTTTACATCCAGTGCATATTACACTAAATTTGTTTTTTTTCCTACCTGCCTCTTTCCTATAATAAGTTTCATTTTATCCCTTTTTACTCTCTGCTGCCCTGTTTTATGTAGGTATTTCCGGACATTTAAAGTTTTTGGTATACAGTTGGTATACTGGACTGTATTTAAAATTTCCCCTCCTCCTCTCTCTTCCCTTGGTTGGTGCTATTATTGTGGAGACCAGGGGTTGCACATTTAGTGCATAACAAAGAATTTGGTGCTTAACAATCAGCCGTGGTACTGAAGTTTGCACTCCTTTCATTGTGATATTTGCACACGTGCTTTTTGTGTGTGTCATGGGAGGTCACACTCTTAGTTAAAGGCAAACAAGTTATGGCTGTGGCACTTGCTGGGTTAGTCGCACTACCTGACTTGACACCCATATCTTCTTTTAGCTCTAGTGCTTACCAAATGTCACACTTTTTTTCTTTCTTTTCTTTTTTTTTTCTTGGGTTTTGGGTCATACCCAGCAATGATCAGAGGTCATTCTTATTTTTATACTCAGGAATCACTCCTGATGATGCTTCAGGGACCATATGGGATGCCAGGGATTAAACCCAGGTTGGCCATGTACAAGGCAAATGCCCTCCTCACTACACTATCACTTCGGCCCCCATCACACTTTTTTTGTGGTGTAGCTGGAAATTGCTTGCCGATCTGGGGATCACATACACCTGAGCTACAGGCTGAGACATTGTCGTTGCCAGGAACCTCAGTGATACTGGCCTAATAGAGCTGATGTCAAAACTAGAATATCTGAAAATGGTCTAAAGGCTGGAGTGATAGTACTACTGGCAGGGCACTTGCCTTGCATAGGGCTGACCAGGGTTTGATCCCTGGCATCCCATATGGCCTCCTGAACAACACCAGGAGTGATTCCTGAATGCAGAGCCTGGAGGAAACCCTGAACACTGCTGGGTATGTTCCCCCCACCCCGCTCCACCACCACCACCACCAAAAAAAAAAAAAAAGGTTTAAAAGATGTATAGCTTCTAAAGTGAGAAGAGAAAAAAGGCAAGTAGATGGAGCTTGTTAAAATGAGTTTGATTGTTTGGTTCCAAAGGAGAGAAGTCCAAATGGTAATTTTGCTTTAAAGTTACTTTCAGAGGGGCTGGAGCCATACCCATGCACAGCGGGCAGGGCGTTTGCCTTGCACGCGGCTGACCCGGGTTCGATTCCCAGCATCCCATATGGTCCCCTGAGCACCACCACAGGTAATTCCTGAGTGCAGAGCCAGGAGTAGTAACCCCTGTGCATCGCTGAGTGTGACCCAAAAAGCAAGAGATAAATAAAATAAAGTTACTTTCAGAAACTAGAAAAGCAATTTATGATACACCACCTTTTTTCTTGGGGGAGGCTCCATACAGAGCTGTTCTCAGGGGTCGTTCCTGGTGGGCTTGGGGGACTCTATTGTGGTGCCAGGGATCAAACCGGGTTTGGCTGCATGAGCATAGTAAGCACCTTACCTGCTCTACTACGACTCTGACTCCCTGCAGCATGATTAGGGTCCGTCATGGAGCTAGATTCACCTGAGATTGATTTATGTAATCTGTCTTCCTGCTCACTCAGAAGCACAAGTGAAGATTTCCACCTTTTAAAAGGTTTCCTATATCCTTTAAGCTAATGTTATTTTACCTGCATTCAGTCACTTCCTCATCCACTGGCATATACATTTTATTTTTATGGTGCTGGGATCCTACATGCAAAGACTATGCCATATTTAAAGTAAAAACTTTTCTTATTGGTGGTTTTCTATCTAGAGTCAGAATTAACCTGCTGATAAGTCTTATGAACGTATGTGTGTGCATGTATATCCTTAGGAATGGGTGCGCCTTTAGCTTCTTAGCTATTTAATCAGCAGTCAATTCTTTTTCCTTTTTTTTACCCCCTCTTTTTTTAATGGATGCGCAAAGAAAGTAATTCCTTTCTTGGGGGGAGCTGGTGTGTTAGTGTTTGGGTCACACCAGGTGCTGCTTAGGGCCTTTCTTATTCCAGGTTTTGTGGTCAAAAGTGACCCCTAGTGGTGGTCAGGGGACCTTTGCTGATTTGAACCAGGGATGGCTCCATACAGGCTCTTACTTCCTGCACTCTGGGCCTGCTCCAGCAAAATGAACAACAGGAGGACAGTGACAGTGACAGTACTCTCTGTCTCAGTGGTTGTAACTTCTTTCCTGACAAAGGCTACTTTTGTCCTCATGTTGGCTATATTCAGGATTATGTATGGAGTAAAACTTTGGTGTGGGATTTTAAAAGTAGGGCACTTACATAAGGGTCATACAGCGTACTGGCAATGAATTTATAACGGAACTGTAACATTTCCCTTCTAATTCCTCTCAGAATCAGCTGCAGTCTCAGAGGACATTGCTTCTTCAAGGAACGGAAAGCTTAAATCGGGCCACCCAGAGTATTGAGCGTTCTCATCGGATTGCCACAGAGACTGACCAGATTGGCTCAGAAATCATAGAAGAGCTGGGGGAGCAACGTGACCAGTTGGAACGCACCAAGAATAGAGTAAGTCTGGGCAGGTGGGAAAGAAGGTGCCCCCATTACATCTCGATACCTTGCTCTAGTAGTTCAAATTCAGGGTATGGTCTTGTGGTTCTTAGGCTTTTCTCAGCTGTTTGTTGCTTGGCTGAGAGAATTCCTTAGGAAGTAGACTTACTAGATTTAAAGGGAAGTCTTTTGGGGACAAGGTGAAGTTTTGCATTTTTTTTGAAGATTGTCAAATAAGTTTACTGTTCTGGCCCCTCCATCTTTTTATTGATTCCTGTTATTACCTGTCTTTGGCAAGAGAAAGCTATGTCAGAAGACAAGATTCAGGAGAGCACCAATCTCACATTTTTGTTCCTCACACGCCTAGAATATTCTGTGCATACAAAAGTGTCATCTAGTTAGAAGATCCTAACTATTCTGTCATTTATCTGTTCTGTCATTTGGCAATCCTGAAAATAGCCAAAGCTATTTTTCCATCTGTCAGAGTAGTACCTCTTGGACTGCACCCCTTAGTTAACTACTTCACTGTAGGAAGAAAATGGAAACTTAAGCAAAACGATTATATTGGGGCCCCTTATCATTCTGAAAGGCTCTGGAAAACATGTTTTTCATTCATCTGCATAGGAATTGAATTATTTGGTTGGTTAGTTTTGGGTCTCAGCTGGCCATACTCAGGGGTTTCTCCTGGCTCTGTGGTCCGGGATGACTCCTGGTGGGATCAGGGGACCATATGGGGGACTACGGGCTCCAACTCCAGTCAGCCCTATGCAAGGCACACACCCTACAAACTGTACTACCACTCTGGCCCTGAAGAATAGAATTTTCTTTTGGGAGAGACAGTTATGAGCTTAGCACGCTTTCTAAATATTGAGCCCTCTTGGGCCCAGGAATATTTTTCTTTTTCAAGGGGTACGACACCACACCTGGAGATGCTCAGAAGCTATACCTGGCTTTGCTCAGGAACCATATGATTTGAACGGGGGTTGGCCCCCTGTAAGGTAAACACCTTACCTGTAAGGTAGGTTACCATCTCTGTACCTGACTATCTCTTGTGCCCCAGGAATAATTTTTTTGCTTTTTGGGGACCACATTCAGCTGTGCCCAGGGCTTACTCCTACCTTTGCACTCAGGCATCACTCCTGGTCGGGCTTCAGGGACCATATGGGACTATATGGGGTTCCGGAAATTGAACCCAGATCAGCTGCATAAAGGCAAATGCTCTCCAGGAAATTGAATTAATAGCACAAAGCAAATTCAAATTGAAAAACATACATTCATTGTGATTATTTGAGGTGATTTTCTCATATCTTCATAGTTGATTATATAATTTTTGAGTAAGAATGTTAAGAATGTTACCCTTCCTCATACATTATGTGTTTGGAGTTCCCCCCTCTCCCATTTTTGTTCATACCAGGTGAAATAATTTATAAGTATTTTGTTTTTGGGCCACACCGGGCGATGCTCAGAGCTTATTCCTGCCTGTGTCATTCAGGGGTCATTCCTAGTAGTGCTTGGGGGGGCCATATAGGATGCAAGGGATCAAACCCAGGTTACCTAACTGCAAGGCAAGTGCCCTACCCCCTGTACTATCGCTCCATCTCAAGGGAAAGGTTTCTTTAAGAAGGTTCTAAGAAGGTTAAAATCAGAATCCCAAAGTGATAGATAACGCACCAACTTATATTTACAAACTCAGGAGGCTCTCCTGGTAAATGGCTGAAATTTACATTAAAAATGTTTTCCAAGTTGCTTTACAGTTAACAGTACACTTGACACCTTTAGCCCAAGTGAAGGATTAGCTCAGGACATTGTGGAGATACTTCCTGAACCTGCTTGACAAATAAAACTATATTGTACCTTCCAGTTTCCTTAGATTATCACTTAAATTAATTTACTTTCTAAAACATTTCAATATTTATCTCTTAATGCCCACTTCATCATCAAGGAGATAGGCCTTCATCATCTTCATAAAGTTGAGATGCTAAATTCACATGAAAGTGTTTAGTAAAATCACTCATGCGTGGGAAGTGCCCATTTGACATAATATGTAAGTACTAATTATAAAGCAACAAGACGTTAAAAAAAGTAGTGAATTAGACCCCAGAATCTTGATATGTTTCTGCCTTCAAAGTAGTCATTTTGAAACATAACATCAATTCCATTAATTTCATATTACTGTCAGAAAAACATTTGGACCCATTTTTCTATTTATGTAAGATTAATTTTTTATACTTATATAAGCCTGTTGACCACCATTAGCTTTATCATCTATTGTATTTAATAAAATTTTGAGTGACAGTCAAAGATGGTTGAGTAGTAAGAATGTTTGAAGTGATCAGCAGACTGAATAAGGAATTCTGGCTCAATTTTCTCCTATCACTGTATCACTGTTGTCCTGTTCTTCATCCATTTCCTCGAGCAGGCGTCAGTAACGTCTCCTTCATCCTAGCCCTAAGATTTTAGAAAGTGCCACATTCGAGACTCTTTGAGGGTCAGGAGAATGAGACCCATCATTGTTACTGGTTTTTGGCCTATTGAACACGCCATGGGGAGTTTGCCAGACTCTGCCATGTGGGCAGGATACTTTCGATAGCCTTCCAGTTCTCCAGAGTAAGAACTAGACAATAAGATGCATTTGTGACCACGCGCTTCTGGGAGCTGGGTTTTATGGTGTCTGGGTCTTGGCCGTTGATGGGATTACACTGCGCCACTGGGGGCAGTTGGTGGGTGTAACGCCTACATACTGGAAGGTGGGGGATCTGGGTGGAAGAGGCCCAGTCCCGATCCAGGCAGGCTTGGAGATCTAAGCCCCGGGTCCCGCACACCTGGGTTCCTCTGCTGGTTCCTTCATGCGTGAGGTTCATCCGAACATGTGTAGAGTGGTCTTAAGCATGGCTGTGGCTGGAACCGGAGGTCTTCAGCTGCCGGGGCTCTGCTTGGGGCGGGGAGGAAAACTCAACCCGCCCTTCTCCAAGGGGCCAGGTGAGGACAGCCAGGCGCGGGGGCAGGAGACTCTCCTATTACCATAAGATATACTTTTGTCCTTCCACACTAATGGGAGATAGTTATAATTAAGAAAAGTTTATGTAAAATGTATATACTATGAAAATTAGTTCAGTTTAAAGCACTTAAAATGTTTAGTATTCATCTTTGGTATGGAATTCATGCCAACTTATGTTTGTAGGAGAAATTGGAGAGTGAGTTACTTAACTTTCTTTTTCTTAGTGCCAGGAGCACCAGGCCTCACACATAGGAAATGCTCTCTCTCTTAGCTACAATCTAACTGCTCCTCTAAAATGATATATTCTTTTCTTTTTTAATTTCTGTGCCATGTATGCATATGCATGGGCTGGAGCGATAGCACAGCAGGTAGGGCGTTTGCCTTGCATGCAGCTGACCTGGTCGGCCCAGGTTCGATTCCTCTGCCCCTCTCAGAGAGCCCGGCAAGCTACTGAGAGTATCTTGCCTGCATGGCAAATCCTGGCAAGCTACCCATGATGTATTCGATATGCCAAACACGGTAACAAAAAGTCTCAACGGAGATGTTATTGAGCCTACTCAAGCAAATCGATGAACAACGGGAGGACAGTACCACAGTGCCCACTGCCAAGGATATTGAAATTTTAAACATACATACATTTGAAAATAATGTTATTTTTCTGTTCTCAGCTGGTAAACACAAGTGAAAATTTGAGCAAAAGTCGAAAGATACTCCGTTCAATGTCCAGAAAGTAAGTATTTCTCTTGACTTCGGTGCCTTTAAATTTTTATAAGTCATTTGAAAAAGTCCTAACAAAGAAATGTGTAGGGCCAGAGTGATAGCACAGCGGGGAGGGCATTTGCCTTGCATACAGCCGACCTGGGTTCAATCCCCAGCATCCCATATGGTTCCCCAAGCACCCCCAGGAGTAATTCCTGAATGCAGAGCCAGGACTTAACCCCTGAGCATCTCTGGGTGTGACCCAAAAAGAAAAAAGAAATGAAAAAGAAGAAAGAAAGAAAGAACGAAAGAAAGAAAGAAAGAAAGAAAGAAAGAAAGAAAGAAAGAAAGAAAGAAAGAGAGAGAGAGTAATATAGCTAACTATCCAACAACAAAATCCTTTGTCTAAAGTATATGCTACTCTAAGACTTGGAATAGTGGGTAGTTTGTCCACTGAAAGGATTTTATTTATTTTGGTTTTGGGGCCACACCCAGTGGTGCTCACGGCAATTCTTGGCTTGTGCTTAGGAGTGACCCCGGGCCATGCTCCAGGGACTATATATGGTGTTTGAACTGGGGTAAGCTGAATGCAAGGCAAGACCTGTTCTATCTCTCTGGCCCTCGCTGGAGGGTTTAATCCCAGTTTACATTCCTTTGGAAATATGGCAAATGGGCATAAAGAGCTTCATATAACTTTACATTCCATTATATTCTTTCACATTTTTGAGAAGCCAAATACTCATTTTGCATGTCGGAAGGCCAGGGTTCAAATTCTATGGCCCTGAAAAGTTATTTTCTGTGTGTGTTTTTGGGTTAGGGGAGGTGTTTGGGCCACATCCAGTATTGCTCAGGAGTCATTTCTGGCAGTGTTTGGGGACTGTATGTGATGCAGGGGTTTGAACTGAGGTTGGCTGCATGCCAGGAAAGCAATTTCTGTGCTCCTTGGCCCTAAAAAGGTAATTTTACATTTTAGAATCAAGAAATAATTTTTATTTCTTAGGTAATAATAGTCTCAGAATTCAACATTTGTATGAGGTAGATGCTATTACTATATCAGTTATAGCTAAGGAAGCTTTTGCCTTGTTATCAGTTACAGCCTTATACTTACTGCTTCGTGGGTATGTAATCAAAGGAAAAGTCAGTCTCCCTAGCAGTGTAAAGAATGAAAAGAGGGGCTGGAACGATAGCACAGTGGGTAGGGCGTTTGCCTTGCATGCGGTCAACCCGGGTTCGATTCCCATATAGTCCCCTGAGCACCGCCAGGAGTAATTCCTGAGTGCAGAGCCAGAAGTAACACCTGTACATTCTGTGCATTGCCAGGTGTGACCCAGAAAGGGAAAAAAAATGGAAAGAAATAATATTTGTGTTTCTTACTCCTCTTCACTTTCTAGAGTGGCGACCAACAAGCTGCTACTTTCCATTGTCATCTTCCTGGAGTTGGTCATCCTGGCAGGCTTGGTTTATTACAAATTCTTGCGCAAGCATTGAAACCCTTCAGGGAAGTTTGTGGACCTGAACTTTGACCCTGTGAATGAATGGTGTAAAGAGATGTGGAATAAGCACATTGCTGCTATGAGCGAACAGTTCACGGATGCACTCTGTGGCCGGACTGTGGGAGGAGGGAGGAAAGACGAAAAACCACTTAAATGTGAAGAACAGCAACAAGACCAGTATGCTATACCAAGGTAATAAATGGTTTATGACTTCTTTAAATTTACATCAGACCCCAACATAGTAATATACCCATGAACTGCAAAAGCCCAAATACATTTAAGTCACCAGAAAAGGGGAGGTGAAGGAAACTTTGATTTTGAGAATGCATAAATGTTCTTGTTAAGGCAAAATTGACCCAGATGACCAGTTGTTTCTGTCCCCTCAAATATCTCTCACACCTCTGCAGTGACCTCCCCCATGACAAATGTGTCTGCATACAGGATTTTCCTAAATCCTCACACGTTCCTTATTTTCTGATTCATCTGGTGAACGGGGAGTAGGCAGCTGGTCGTAGACCACATGCCCTCCCTCCCTCGTCTGACCAAAACTTGAAGCTATCACATCCACTGCCAGGCCGGCGGTAGCTTTCGCCTCTTCCTCAGAAGCAGCCAGCTGAGGATTGACTTCAACAAGATCCAGTGCTGACAGCAGCCCTGCAACAGCAAAGTAAGATCAGAGCTTAGGCCCATGCCAGCCACTAGGGACAGCAAGGTGAAATCCTCACCCTGAGGATCAAGCACACCATCAGGAAGTCCTTTATACCTTAGCCCCAAGAGATAAGTTTTAGTTCAGACACGGGTATGCTAGAATAAAACTGAAAGAAACCTCTAAGTCCTTAGGTTCAGCTAATCTGTCAGGCATAATAACTATCAGGCTTTCCCCAGAAATTTTGTATTACCTATTTTCCCAGAGGACTGACACTTTCTGTGCTGTTTTAAGCAAATTACCTTATGTATCTAGTTGATAGTGTCATGACAGATTTTGGGGATAAAGTATTACACAGCAAGAAGTTAGAACCACTTGAGTATCAGAGCTACTAGCCTTTGCTGTAGGTGGCCTCCTGGGGAACCAAAATGAAGGGGGATGAACTTTTCTGGCTACTGCACAAGGAGAACTGACAACATCTTTTTTCCCCTGTTTGGGTCACACCTGGCAATGCACAGGGGTTATTCCTGGCTCTGCACTCAGAAATTACTCCTGGCGGTGCTCAGGACCATATGGGATGCTGGGAACTGAACCTGGGTCAGCCTTATGCAAGGCAAATGCCCTGCCTGCTATTACTCCAGCCCCTGACAACATCTTAATATTTGTGGGTCAGTCTGAGAGTATTTTGCCAGTGACTGATCTGATGACAAGCTTTCTTTTTCTTTCTGTAGTACCTAAGGTTCAGGCAGGCTCCAGAGCCAGAGCAGTTTCTCACTGTCCTTAATTATCCCAAATAATCATGGGTTTCTTCTAGCTCTGAATCTTTCCATCTGGGGTCTCTCTGCCATGTAGACTCCAATTGTCAAGAGATGGTTTTGAATTGAACAACACTTCAGTTCCACTGTATGGTGAAAAGCCGCTTAACTACTCATCTGGCAGATTTAAATGCTTACTTAACAAACTTTAGTGTTTTAAACCACCATGTTTCTAGCTTCCCAGGAACCAACCTCTTAAAATTAGGGCAAAACATTACATCAGTTTGGCAGTTTGGTCTTGATTTCAATTAAAGTCTACATTTTTTTTTTCAATATTACTTCAGCCTGGCAATCTACCGAGAGTATCTTGCCTGCATGTTAAAGCCTGGCAAGCTCCCTGTGGTGTATCCGATATGCCAAACACAGTAACAGTTGTCACAATGGAGACGTTACTGGGCCCACTCAAGCAAATCTATGAACAACGGGAGGACAGTGACAGTGACTTCAGGTCAAGTCTAGATATATCTTTTTTTTCTTAATTTGTTGTATTTTATTTATTTATTTATTTTTGCTTTTTGGGTCACACCCAGCAATGCACAGGAGTTACTCTTGGCTCTGCGCTCAGGAATTACTCCTGGCAGTGCTCAGGGGACCATATGGGATGCTGGGATGCACGGGTCGGCTGCATGCAAGGCAAACACCCTACCCATTGTGCTATCGCTCCAGCCCCTAGATATATCTTAAAATTAGTGGTTTTCAACTTTTTAGCACTGTCTATAGATGAGTGGTTGAAAACCACTGGTGTAAGTGTGGCATCTCCCCCGCCTTGGTTTTGGGCTACAACTGACAGTTCTTAGGGATCACTTCTGGTGGATCAAATAGGGTGCCGGGGATCAATTCCAGGTCAGCCACATGCAGAGGCAAGCACCCTACCTGTTTGTATTATCACTCTGGCCTCTTTGAGCTATGGCAGTTTAAACAAAGATAATGTCCACAATGATGTGAAGTAGCTGGAAAGATTCCCAATAGGCAAGCAGTTTGAGCAGGGACCTGAGAGAGGACAGTGGGTGGGGCACTTGGCCTTGCACACAGCCAACCTGGGTTCAATCTCTGGCATCCAGTATGGTCCCCGGAGCGCCGCCAGGAGTAATTCCTGAGTGTAAAGCCAAGAGTGACCCCTGAGCATTGCCTGGTATAGCCCCAAAACAAACAAGCAGAAAGGAAGTTGAGCATATTTATGTAGTCCACAGACTGGCTGCTACTCACCTGTGTTGTGCACTTCCTCGGTGATATACATGCCTTCTCGGTACGTCAGGCCCCCCACAACAGGGGTTCCCGTGGCCGGAGCCAGTGTAGGGTCAAATGCATCAATATCAAAACTCAGGTGGATTGGCCTTTCTCTTCTTGAAAAAAAGCAAGATAAGAATTGTCATTCGGTTGTGTTTGGACACCCACCCTGCCGTTACAACTCCTTGGTTTTGTTGCTGTGATCCTAGACTTTGTTCATGTGGTAGACCTCCAGGTGTCCTATTGGTGGAAGTCACTGAGTACTTTCAGCGGATCAGCTACCTACACAGCACTTCAGGATATTGCCATTTGTTTTGTGTATTTCAGACCATCTCCAATTTAAAACCTGGAATTACAGCCTCCTGTATTAAACCTGCCAAAGGAGGGAATTTCTCACTTGGCTGTGGCAGTGGGCTCTGATAACACTAATTCCAGCTGGATCTAGGTTCCTGATGCTGTTACTCTCTCAATAACCACAACAGAATATAATTGGTTTGTCTGCAGTCTCATCTTCCAGTAGTAATTTACAGTTACCCTAGGCTTTTAAGGGCTAAAACTTAACATATGACAAATACCCACAAACTAAAACCGTATCTTTGCTCTTAAGAAATGACATTTTTGGATTTTAGCTGGTGGTGCTCGGGGTGCCAGGGACTGAACCTGGGATTCTGTCCCGCAGCATGTACTCTAGTCCTTTGAATGATTTTTCCTGGTTCAAGAAGTTGCATATTTTACATTTTATGACAGCTTAAGAAATTAGGTAGTATCAGTTAGCTAATCACATCATTAACGAAAAATAGAAGGCAGCACTGGAAAAATGCTTAAAACTAGCATTTGATCAGCATTCACGGCCATCTTTCAGAACTAGTAAGATTTGCTTGATATAAAATTACCAATTGAGGAGCTGGAGCAATAGCAGGGTGGGTAGGGTGTTTGCCTTGCACACGGCCAACCTGGGTTCGATTCCCAGTGTCCCATATGGTCCCCTGAGCACCACCAGGGATGATTCCTGAGTGTAGATCAGGAGTAACCCCTGTGCATCGCCAGGTGTGACCCAAAAAGCAAAAAAAAAAAAAAAAAAACAAACACCAAAATGAAACAAAACAAAAACCTATAAAATTACCAAGTGAGACAATAGTGAGAATATTCATCTCAAGAGATAGGTATCAGAATTGGAGCTAACGGGAGAGGCTGGAGAGATAGTACAGCAGGTAGGATGTTTGCCTTCCAAGCAAGCGACCCAGATTCTATTCCTGGCACCCCATGGGTCCCCCGAGCATTGCCAGGAGTGATTCCTGAGTGCCAAGCCAAGAGTAACCCCTGAGCATTGCCAGAAGTGTCCAAACCACCCTCCCCGCCCTCCCCTTCCCCCCCCCAAAAAAAAATTGGAGCCAAGGAGGCAGAGGTAGCTCAGAGATGCATACCTTACACATGCAAGGACTCTGCTGAGTCAAATCTTGGTGGACTTGAGCACTAAGCCACCCGGCCTCGACTATTGCCAGGAGTGGCCTCAGACCCTCCAAGCAATGCAAATTCCCAACCTCCACCCCCAAATAGAGCTAAAAGAGAGCAAAGATTTAAAGAAAATGCCTTTTCAAGCCCAGTGAATACAAACTTACTCTCCTCTCCTGAATTTTTTTTCAATACCTATTATGGATTTTACACCTATTAGAGGGGGTCATACCTGGCTGTACTCAGGGATCATGCCTAGCCCTGTGCTTAGGGATGACTTCCTGCAGTGCTGGAGGGGCCATGTGCAGTTCAGTTCCATTCAACTTGGGATTGAACCTGGTTCCGCTGTGTGCACAACAAGTCCTTTACCAGCTATACTATCTTTCCGGCCCTGTGTCTATTATGTTTTGCTTTTGTTTTAAAAGAAAAACTTATCCTCAAGAGACAGGCTATAGTGTGCAGTTCATTTGGAGAGTGTCCTCTTCCCCTTGGAACCTAGAATTACACATCGGTTGTAGTTACTTACTTGCCAATCAGCTGGTTAAATGTCTGTTCCATGACCTTTTGGATACCAAGTCGGTCTATATCTCTCATGGAAAAATACTGGATATCATATTTCTTTAGAATAAAACTGGTGAGATATAAAGGAGGGAGTCCTTAGTTTAAAGAGCATTTTTAAACAACTGTATGTTTAGGGGAGGAGTTTGTCTTTTTCAGTGATCTACAACCAGTTAAGCCAAGTAATCCCTATTCAAGTGGCTAGGACAGGCCCAAAGCTTAACCCTCATGTATCAACTTACCGCTCAGGAGGGTCCACATCTCTTAGACCAATATACACAATACTTGGGGAAGATAAACAGGGTTTGATCCAGGAAAATCCTGGCAGTTGTGGTACCTACAAAGAGAAGAACGAACAGCGTTCCTCAAGAATTCTTGGCCTCACCCAAATAAGCTTCCCAGTCTATGCTGTTTCCTTTCTCCTACCCACAGGATATGCTTAAAGTAACACAAGATACATCTGATCTGGGGAAAAAAACTGATGCAGATGGAAATGTTTCAGAAGGACAGCTGAAGAACACAGTGTTTGTTTTCTCAAGAAAAAAAAATTGTTAAGGCTTTGTTAAGATGATATTAGTTTCTCATTAACTTACCTAAGTTGCAGTAATACTGCTGATTACCTCTTTTCCACCCCTTTGCACTTTATATTAAATTGTTTACAGATTGGTGCCTGAAACATAACCCAGTTGCCGTCTCAAATTGCCAACTGCCAAGACACAAATTCTGCCCAATGAGTAACCTTTGTACTGCTAGTTTAACTTGCTCTCTTCACTGAGGGGAGGGATAAAATAGATTCTGTGTCTAATATGAATTATATTTTTCTCCAAACATGTTTATTTGTCAGCGTAAGGCTTGTGAGCCTCTAACCAAGAAGTTTTCAGGCTATGGGTCTATTAATTGCTTGAATTACCACTTACCACCACTTCTGTCTTTCTTGGGGTGCCTGAACACGAGGCAGTGCTCAGGGTAGCACAGGGATCAAACCCAAGACTACTACATAAAAAGCATGCACTCGAGCTCTCTGAGCTGTCCTCAGCCCCTATCATCACTTTTTCTTAGATAGTGGCCTTCCATTCTTACAGCACGTCATAGCATTTCATCTTTATACTCAGCACCCAGCACACTGGCTAGCCCATAATTCATGTTTGATTAACAAATGAAGGAATTGCAAGCACTTCTATACCATCTTAGTCTGTCCGTCACAAAAATCTTACAGTCTTAACCCTAGGATGACCCCTATAAATCATTTGGCTTTCATTTTAACCTGCTCACCTTGTCCTTCAGTTCTTTGAGGAGAAATGAAACTGGCTGTCCATGAAGATTCCCAGATGAAGTGGTGAGGGGTGTATTGATGTCAGCATGAGCATCAACCCAGATCACACAAAGGTCTGGGCAGTGCCGGGCGTGGCCACTAATGGTTCCTATTGCCAGGCTGCAAAGAACAAATAAAGCAATATTCATGGTCCTCTGGTTGGCAAACATCACCAATCAAATATCCTCAGCCAACACAGCTCATACTTTGTCCTTAGGGCAAAGTCAGGACCCTAGATTCGGGCTGGATTTAGATGAGACAAAGTCCCTAGGGTTGTAGTTCCCAAAGATTAATCTTAAGCGAATTAGCCAGGGAGAAACAAAACTCTGAAGATTCAAAGCTGAGGGTCAAAGATGTAGCTCAAAGGTAGAACACTTTCATTGCATGTATGCGGCTCTGGATCCAAAGCTGACAACTGATTATCCCTGAAGTGTGACATAACAATTGTTGCTCTGAAATCCATTTAAATCTGGTGGTTGACATGTTTGACAAGTTACAACTACTGTACCAGGGCAGCTGGGGAGATCTAATATTTTTTAAATGATCAATCATACTAACTTACTGGGGGCCCACACCCAGCTGTGCTGGAGACCAAACCTGGGTTCACACATAAGAACATATGCTCCAGCCCTCTGAGTCGCTTTCTAATCCTATAGTAAGTCTTTTATTGGGTGGGTGAGTGAGGCTCCCAAGTAGTACCTGGGAGACTGGAGGCCTATCTGAGCAATGCTCGGCCAACTGAGCCAGCAGTTCTGTGCTAGGGAGTAAGGGTGCCCTGTTGCTTGAGCCCAGCAGTGCTAAAGCCATCCCAGCAGGGTTCAGGGGTCACCATGGCAACTCCTTCATGTTCGGGGATCTTGTAGTGCTGAGGCTTCACCTCAATCCTGTGTATCTCCTCTTCTACACCATCATATTAATTTTTTTAAGAATAAAAATTAGAAAACATTACAGCTTTGTAGAAAGGTCAGGTGGTAGGGCTGGAGCCATAGTACAGCAGGTAGTTTGCCTTGAATGTGACGGGGCCAACTTGAGTTCTATCCCCAGCATCCTATATGGTTCCCTTAGTATTGTCAGGAGTAACTCCTGAGTATTGCCAAGTGTGCCCCCCCCCGCACCCCCCCCCAAAAAAAGATCAAGTGGTACTACTTTTTTTTGGGGGGGAAGGTCACACCTGGTGATGCTCAGGAGTTACTCCTGGCTCTGTACTCAGGAATTACCCCTGGCAGTGCTCAGGGGACCATATAGGATGCTGGGAATCAAACCCGGGTCGGCTGTGTGAAGGCAAACCCCCTATCCGCTGTGCTATCACTCCAGCCCTTCAAGTGGTACTTCTTAAAAGTTGTTAAAGGCATTAAGGTACCTAAATAAAATATTTAGATCAATGAATAATTTTTCTTCCTGCATGTTTTACTTGATATATGATTTAAGTATTTTCTACCTTCCTTGGTCTTGGCTTACATTAGCCAGTGAGCTTGTCTTAATAATAGAAAAACAGCTAGTGAAATTGTGATTAAAAAGTTTCAAGGAGGGGCTGGAGCAATAGCACAGCGGGTAGGGCGTTTGCCTTGCACACAGCCGACATAGGTTAGATTCCCAGCATCCCATAAGGTCCCCTGAGCACCGCCAGGAGTAATTCCTGAGTGCAGAGCCAGGAGTAACTCCTGTGCACTGCCGGGTAATGCACACGGGCTACTCCTGGTTCATGCTGGGTGTGACCCAAAAAGCAAGAAAAAAAAAAGTTTCAAGGAGGGGCTAGAATGATAGTATACCAGGTAGGGCGTTTGCCTTGCATGCGGCCCAACCCAAGTTGGATTCCCAGCATCCCATATGGTCACCCGAGCACGGCCAGGAGTAATTCCTGAGTGCATGAACCAGGAGTAACCCCTGTGCATCGCTGGGTGTGACCCCCAAAAATTTTTTTCAAGGAAGTGAGGTGTGGGGAGATAGTGCAGCAGACAGGGTGCTTGCCTTGCACGCATGTTCTGTCCCTAGCATGTGCCTTGACCCTGGTTCAGTCCCTAGCACAAGCCCACTAGGAGTGATCCCTTACTACAGGCCCCCTGGGCACTGTCTCAGAGACACCAAAAGCAAAACATTTCTCAACCTTCGAGTAACCAAAGAATTTGACATAGGAAATGCAATTTAAGCATCTTAGGCATAATTCCAACTTCCTTTTTGGTCAGTTATAATAAGGGTTAGAGCACCTCTGGAAATGTGAGATCTCTGCGATTAATCCCTGGTACTCCATGGTTCCCTGAGCACTGCTGAGAGTAGCTAACTCTCATGCATATTTTACACACACACACACACACACACATCTCATACATTTATGAAAGGCATAAGTGTCCCATCCAACATTACATCTTTTTGAGAGAACATTCTAGTGCTAAAAAAGTAATGGATTGATACATGAGGTACTTCATTCATTTCTGTGGGTTATTTCCAACAATAGCATGTAAGTCTATGATTCACCTCGCCCAGCTGTGCTCAGGATTTACTCTTGGCTCTGCTCAAGGGTCCCTATGTGGTTCTGGGAATTGACTGGGGTCAGCCACATGCAAGTGCCTTACCTGTTGCACTATCTCTCATGCCCTAGCACCTTAAAAATTCTTGAAGGGGCTGAAGATGGGGCTCAGCAGAGGTTTCGCTTGCCTTTCACTCCTGGGTTCAGTCCACAGCAGTGTCCGCCCACACACACTGTGTTGATATCCAGGCCAGGGGAGAAAGCTCAACGGGCTAGTACACAGGTTTTGCATGCAGGAGTTCCAGTTTTGATCCCCAACACTGTCTGATCTCCCCAGTACCGCTTGCTTGGAGCAACCTCCAAGCACTGAGCCAGGAGTAGTCAGCCCCTGAGTACCCCTGGGTAAGATTCAAAAACAACATAAAAATGCCACAGTTCCTTTAATCTCTTCCGTGAGGAAATGGAGAGAGGAGCCAGTAGCTCAGCCCCGAGTACTGTGCATTCATTCCAGCCCTCTCGCCACCCCCCGGGCTCCCCGCTTACCTGTGATCGCCTCCCAGTGTGACACAGCTGTAGCCGCCCGAGACAGCTCTGCTGACGGCCTCAGCCAGTTCCTGGTTGGCAAGGCCCACGGAGCGAGGATTCTTGATCAAATTGTTGTAGACGTCATCTTTGGGCACTGGAGTAAAATTCAGATCTCCAAAGTCTTTTAAACGGCAGCCTGCAAACAACGAGCGGTGCATGACAATGTTATATGCTATTCCAGCTCTTCGGTTTGTTTTTGGTTTTTGTGGGGAGGGTCACACCCATCAATGGTCTTACTCCTAGGTCTGTGCTCAGGGATCACTCCTGGCAGACTCAAGGGCTTGGCAATTCTGTGCTCTCTCTGACCCCTCAGACAGTTGTTCTGCTATAGTATTTGAGGGAAGCACTCTTTTTGTGGTGCTTGACAACTGGCTGTGGTTGTGGCTGGGAATGGTGGCACTCCACAATGACACTGTGGAGTACTCCACACTGACAGGAGCCAACAGAATGCCATTTTGTGCCTCTGGGGGAGGGGCAGGGAGTCACACCAAGCAGTGCTCATGGATCACTCCTGGCAGTGCTGGTGATCAAACATGGGTCAGCCACCTGCAAAGCTAATGCCTAACCCTCTCCTCTCTCCCCACCCCCTCCACCTTTTAAAAAAAAAACAAACTTTTTTTTTTTGCTTTTTGGGTCACACCCGGCGATGCACAGGAGTTACTCCTGGCTCTACCTGCTGTGCCATTGGTCCAGCCCCTAAAAAACTTTTTGTGCTGTGTCAACTCCTCTGCAATTTTAGATGATAAGACAAAATTTATCATTTTCGCTCTTGCCTCTCTTTAAAAAGGCCTGGTAGGACAAAAATGAACTTGAAACTTCAAGGAAGTGCTCATGTCAAATCTGGAGCCAAGGGCGCTCATTTTTCACTTGCAGTGGGAACAGGGTAGAGCTCTGTAATAATGGCCTTACTCTGCTTCTCTCTGGTGCCAGAAATAAAATATCACTGAACATTACCGCCAGTCTTCTAGGCCTAGTTGCTACCTTTAGCCTTGATAAAACCTCTCCAGGCTCCAGTGGAGTGGAACCAGAACACAAGTGCATCAACAGAATGATGCAACGAAGTCGGGGAGAAATCAAAACAGCCCCATCTGACCATGGCATTCTCCCTGGTCAGCCTTTCTATTTCAGGAGATCATTGGTGATCACTGGTCAATTCTGCAAAAAGTCAGTGTCAGGGAAAAAGGAAAAAGTATCAGATTGTTTGCCACCACACTGTGCCAGCAGCTTTTACAGGCTGCAACTTCCTATTATTGTTTTCCACACACCAGAGAGGAAGCCATTCAGGAACATTAGGTGCCCACAACATCAGAGAGCCAGCCTAAACCACCCTTGGATGAGATAGTGGCATTTCTTTCACCATTTTTTTCCCTTGGGTTTTTTTTGGAGGGGGGACACACAATAAACAGGAATCTCCCCTGGCAGTGCACCGGGGACCTAGTGTGGTGTTGACGACCAATCTCGGTCTACCCACATGCAAAGCATAAGCTCAGCCTCTTGTGCTGTCTCTCTGGGCCCGAACGGGCATTTTCAATGGCAGAAAGTTACAATATTCTCTCCACTGCTCTAACTTCCCATTCAGAGTAAGACTCCAGTTGTTCCCCAGGTGCCCAGCATATCAAGAGACAAGGGTTTCAAAATGGGCTGACACTTGGAAAAGACCAGCGAACCACCAGCAGAATAACAGATTTGGAGACAATGGCAGTAGGATGAGAAAGTTTGTGTCCTGTCAGGAACGTTAGTGAACAATCAAGAATGAAAGTAGATGCCGACCTCATTTGGTGTTGAGAGAATACTAGAGGGTTTAAAAATTTGTAGACTCAACTGTTTCACCAGGGAGGGTAAGCCAACTGCAAAGGGAATTCCTAGTAAGTTGAAGCAGTGCACCTATTAGAGACCTTAAAGTTGGACCTAGAAGTCCAGTGTCTTAAAAACAAAATGGCAGTGTTAACTGGAGATCTAACCTAGGGAATGAATGAATGAGTTGGGTGGGACAGAGAGCTCCAGCAGTAGAGTATATTCTCTGAGTTCTATCCCAAAAGTCTTGTCTGCCCTCCCTAGCTCCCTCAGTACTGCTGGTGTGCCACTGCTGACCCTGATGACCCCTGTGAAACAAAGAATGCCAGAGTTAATTCATTTGAACCAAACAATTCATTAGAGGAACTCAAGATTAATTACTGTCCATAAAATACAGAGGTCTGAAATTCATTTAGACATTTAACTCGGGAAGGCTGTGGAACGTATATTGAGATATCTAAAAATAAATCAGCTCTTTGCTTCCTTAGAAGCAAACTCAAAAGCAGCCAAGACAAGTTTCCATTTGGTGCATTAGGTGCATATACCCGTACCAGCAGGGTATATGCATATATTCTAGTTCATTTCTTCAGTGTCTCAAGAAGGCGCCCCAGAAGGCATCACCATCTTCCTCCCACTCTGTTCTGTTGCCCCCCACCTGGTGGGTGTTCTGAGGCAGTGAAGACACCGCTGAAGAAGACAGGAAGAGTGGCAGCAGTGGCTGGGGCAGAGAAGGTGACCCTGGGTATCCAGCTCAGTCACGTCAGACAGTTAAGGACCCAGTGATAGAGCTAGGGAGAGAGCACAAAGGGCTGAAAACTCTACTTGGTAGTCCCCTGACCCCCCAAAATAAAACCAGATGATTCAAGCCTGTGTTAACAGAAGGCTTTGCACCAATTTGATCCCTTAGTATAAAAAAATCCAAATATAAAACAAATAGGAACATCTTGAGACTCATTTCACTCAGCATGATATTCTCCTTGCCATTCCTTGTAGAAACAAATTTCATGACTTCGTTTTTTTTTTTTTTCTAATGGCTATGTAGTATTCCATTGTGTAAATGTATCATAGTTTGTTTATCCATTCATCTGTTCTTGGGCACCTGGGTTGTTTCTGGCTATTGTGAATAGTGCTGCAATGAATGTAGGAGTGCAGATGGCTTTTCTCTGTTGTGTTTTTGGGCACCCAGGGTAATTCCCTTGAACAGTATTGCTGGGTTGTATGGAAGCCCAATTTCTAGTTTTTTTTTTTAGGAGTGTCCATATTGTTTTCCAAAAAAAAATGTCCAGGGATTTTTGACAGCTGACAGCACCCTAAGCTAGTTGCCTGCTTCCAGCAAGACAGGGGTAAAAATAGCAAAGATTAATCAAACTTCATAAGTTACCTCAGTGTAACCATTATCCCTCAATCAGAACAAGAACACTGAGATCTCTAGGGGAAAAAAATCTGTCATTAACATCCTGATGAAAGTTCACGCTCTGCAGTATCTAACCAGAAGGGGATAGTAGTCAGGATAAAATACTACAGTCCCTAGGAATAAAGTGCTGCTCTTAGAGATGCAGTTAAAAAGCTGTACACATTCTGCTTGATCCAAAAACAGTTTGGAGGGAGATTATGTATACAGTGGGCAGGTAGGTTACCAGAACCTGTGACTGCTAAGCCTGCCCAGACCCTAGCTGAGCATCTTCTTGAGCTGCCTAGGGAACCTCAAACAAGATCACCTGCATTCCACTAGGCCTGGCTTTCAAGCAGCACACAGATAAATGGCCACGGGGGAGGTCAAGGGAAGGGAAGAATTCCTCCTACCCTCTAGCCTCCCAGTTTCCTAGAAGATCCAAGTTGTCCAACAAGTTCAGTTTCTAACCTTGTCCTCCTTCAAGGCTAATAAGGATTAAATAAGATGACTAGGGAAAGCCTGCCCACGTAAGAGATTCCATCAGTTCAACTGGATTGGGAGTCTCTGGGTGTTCTTGCTACCCTACCCTTTCTCTTTTCCATAACACTGATGGTGTAATTGTGAAACTGATGAGGTACAATCGAAGGTTCCTAAAACCTGCTTGTAATAGAACCGTACCATTTTAATAAAAAGCTGTTTTTGTTGAGAAATAGCAAATAAGCACAAGCCTGATTTCTCATTAAAATGAGTCCTAGAGCCCCATTGTTCCACTGTCTGAATTTTCCTCATTCCCTATAAAGGATTAAGGGCAAAGCCAAGCAAATCTTAGGATACTGATTGACTGACAGCCCTAACCTCAGTGTCATACCCAGCTGTGACTTAATATTGGTCCAAATAGGAGGTTGTTTTCTTTTCTTGCTAAGTGCTTCTGGTTCTTGAGGTAGTCGAATAAGCCAAGAAGAGGATTCTCTTAGCCTCTGAGAAGAGTACATCACCCACATGTACTATATTTATATACCTTCAGTACCAAAAGAGTTTGATCATTACTGGAGGGATAACTATATTCAAGAATTAAATTATTTTAAACCAACCATAGTAATCTCTTAAACTCTGAACCTCTGAATAATAATATTTTGGACAGTGAAAGAGTAATGTAACATCTGTCTAAGGTCACCCCTACTTAAAACAGTCTAGCTATATAGCTCTTGGTTCAAAACAAAAAATATGGGGGCTGGAGACAGTACAGTGGGTTGGGCACTTGCCTTGTACATAGCCTACCCCAGTTTGACCCACAGCATCTCATGTGGTTCCCAGTGCTCATCCCGTATGAGTCCCTACAGGAGTAACTCCTGAATGCAGAGCCAAGTCTGGCTCAAAACAAAAACAGAAAACACAAAATATGTTTCAAAAAAGGCAAGAATCAGGGGGCTGGAGCCATAGCACAGCGTGTGGGATGTTTGCCTTGCACACAGCCGACCCAGGTTCAATCCCCAGCATTCCATGTGGTCCCTCGAGCACCGCCAGGAGTGATTCCTTAGTGCATGAGCCAGGAGTGACCCCTGTGCATCGCCGGGTGTGACCCAAAAAAGCAAAAAAAAAAAGGCAGAATCATCAGTAACTCATTAACACCTACGAACATTTAGTTTGAATAATCTCCCAATGGCTAGCCAAAATTGTAAGAATTCATTTGTGTTTGTGTGTGTGTGTGTGTGTGTGTGTGTGTGTGTGTGTGTGTTGGGGAGGGGTGGTGGTGTCACGCCCTCATTCATGCAAAGTAGACACTTTACCACTGACTTACACCCTTGGCCTTAAATTATACCTTCTTTTCCTTTTCCATTCCCTCTCCTCTCCCACAGGGGAGTTGTGCGATAGTGTGGCTGGGTGACCAGAGGTTACACATAGGCCTAATGATGGTGCTCGCACATTGAGCTGTGGTGCTCCCCACAGGT